CTGAGCCGGTGAGATTTGAACAGCCGAACTGCAGAACTGCAGTCAGCTGAAGTAGCCTGCAGTGCTGCATTTAACCACTGTGCCACCTCGGCACAGTGCACATGCACAAAATCATTTTTTTAGTACTGTGCATGTGTGCATAGTGCGCATCAAGCACACGCAGCGCGGCTCTGAGCGAACCGGCAGTAGGAGCAGCCAGAACCCACCCCTGGAGCTAACCCATCAATCAGATCTTTTCTAGTGGCAGGTCTTTTCACATTGGCTCTTGCTGAATGGTTGAGAGTGCTGGTGGAGGAGAAACAACTGAATGGTTTATTTCTTTGATCTGTGGAGAATGTTCATTTCTTTGAAACAGGAAGGCAGATGCATCAGGCAGATACGTCCCTTTATTGGTACCTCGCGTGTCCAGATCTAGAGAGAACCTTAAAGCAAAATGGAAAAGTTTGGCAGTACTAGATGTTCTGTGCAGTGATGATAGAGAGTGGGGAGGAAAGTCATATTACCCACTCCTCCCTCCCTTTCTCTCTAGTTTGCCAGAGACTGCAGTTTAGATCAAAAAGAGATGTGGAATACGTGTAGGCAAATTTAAAAATAGATCCTCCTGGGTGTGAGGGAAGGAAATTGCTGAATGCACAAGCTGGAGAGGAAAAAGTCAGTATCCTTTTCTGATCTAGAGAAGTGAATTGTAACGTTCCCAATAAAATTTTAATTAATCACTTTACCCTTAAGAAATGTTTGCAAAACATGGAAATGGTAAGGCATATGAGTGTGTGGGGGGGATGGTTAAATGATCTGAAAATCAGTAGTTTTCAGGACCGCTGAGAGAGGCAACCTTTCAATGTAACTGAGTGGAAATTTGCTTGGACAATTCTGTTGCGTTGTGTGGGAGATACATAGAGAAGTTCTATAGGTAGTCCTCTACTTACAACCACAATTGAGCCCCAAATTATTGTTGTTAAGCAAGATAGTTATTAAGAGAATCTTGCCTCATTTTACGACCATTCTTGCCACAATTAAGTGAGTCACTGCAATTATTACATTAGTGACACAATTGTTAAGTGAATCTGGCTTCCCCATTGACTTTGCTTGTCAGAAGTTCATAAATAATGATCATTTGACTCCAGGAGGTCACTGCAACTGTCACAAATATGAATGAGTTGCCAATGATCTGAATTTTGATTGCATGACCATGGAGATGCTGCATTGGTCGCAAGTGTCAAAAACTGTTATAAGCCACTTTTTTCAGTGCTGTTGTAATTTCAAACGGCCACTAAATGAACTGTTGTAAGTCGAGGACTATCTGTACTTTCTGTTCACTATCATGGAGCTAAATGAGGCAGACTTTACTATGATATAGTGGTGAAAGGCTTGAGTAAAGCTAGGGAAGATACAAGTGCACAATCCCAGTCAGATACAAAGTTCACTGAGAAACTGACTAGAACATGTCAGAGGCTAATTTCATGTGTCTCACTAAGATATAAACCAGACTTGTACAACTTAAGGTTCTCGGACAGAGTTCTCCAAAGTGGTCAGTATTGACCCCCATGAGTAGAAGGGGCACACCAAGAGGGTCAGTGTTATTATTAGAAGTAGTAAACAATATTCATTTAATTATGTTCGTATAATAAATACTTGGGGGCGGGGTGTTATGAACAGCCTGAAACCTCAAGAAGGAATTGATGAGTTGAAGAGTTTGCTTTGAAGGGGGCCCTTCCCCTCTATCTCCCTATCTGAGCACCTCCAAAAGTCTCCACCAAATTTAAATTTGCCAGAAGAGAAAAAAAATATTGAATATGCTAGTTATAATTATGTCCTCTATATTTGATCATTTTAGTCTTAACTGCATTTGCATGTAAATTTAGTTCAATCTAAATTATTTTTCCTGGCCTCACCTAATTATTTTCAAAATATAGCCTCTAATGTGGCCTTCAGAGATCTGGTGCAAATCATACACTTTAACAAATCACAAGAGCCGGATTCATAACTCATACCACAAGCAGACAGCAGCTTTATTGGATATTATTATTAAGCACTGTAGAGAGTGGGAGAAAGAAATCATGTGCACTTTCCTGATATATTAAAAAAAAGATAGAATAAAAATATAAAGAGGGAGACAAGTTGGTACTGTGCTCTTTGGTGTGGATAAATTTAGTTTTAGTGTGGAAATTAAGTGAATGGACATGTGATAAATCAGTGGTCAGATAATCCTCAGCTCTTTTTTTTCCACCCAGGCTGTTACTCTTCATCAGGCAGAGAACTTAGAATTATTCATACAACTATTTGTGCAGAAAGCAAGTGAATTTTGTGATGGGAATCGCTCTGCAGACAGATGTGTGAAATAAGGCTGGTGTATATGGATGTTTGATTTTTAACAGCAGGGATATGCAAAATCTGTACCTGAAATTTTTCACAGCAGGGAAGACGAATGTTCACCTGCTAATTGCATCAGATATGGATGCTACTAAAGGCACAGCTACCAACATTTCACAAATTATGTTTATTTATTTGAGTCCACATAGAGACTGTTTGACCTTAACAATTCTGATAGCTTAAAGAGAGAAAGAAAGATATAATCAGACCAACAGCCAGCCCACCTGCCAACAGGAAGATTAAGTCAAGCAACCACTAGTTATTAAGTTGGGGGAAACATAGATCTCAAGAAGGATGTCATGGCAGAGGGCAGACCTACTGAAAAAGTCATCTCCTGGGTCTCATAAGGTGACATTGTATAATCAACAAAGCCAGAAATGTGCCCGCTCTGCCTGATCTCACAGGTGACTTAACTTGAAGATGCTGAGATGTTGTTTGAATCTGTGGAAAGGTGCATTAGTGATTATGGGTTTGGTAATATAGAATCTGTGGAAAGGCTTATGTGGAGGAGAAGGGTTGAGACTCTGAATGTCCCACTTTCAATAATTCTACACAAGAGCAAACAATTGTCTTGCTTTATGGACAGGGATTTGTATATTTCTTGGTGGATAGGGAGGTCCAGATCAGACTTTTCCAACCCTGTCTTCCCTCGGGTGAATTATAATTCTCAGCCAACATGTATTACAGTTCCAATAAATCATGGGTCTCCAAATTTGATAACTTTAAGACTTATGGACTTCAACTCCCAGAATTCCTCAGTCAGTTCTTAAAGTTCTCAAGTTTTGAGACCCCTACAATAGTTGTAGAATGTAGATGCACCTGAACAGGGAAGAAGAATTCAGGCAAATTCTTGTGTCCTCATATTCCTCTTCCACTCTCTCTCTTTCCAAAATGTCAGTCAAGGTTGAGTGTTTTCTACATCCATTTATCTTCTCCCACATTGCATGTTTTAGAGATCACTGCAAATGGCAGGGTAGTGAGGAGTGAGAATACATTGGAGATTGTAAAATATATTCTGTAAATATAGCTGTGAACATTCTGGAAATAAATCTACATTTTCACGACATGAGGCAATTTCTAATTAATGATTTACTTCTCACAGCATTTAGAATGTAGCACGTATGTGTGTGTTTATTTAACTGAAGCATATTTTGCCTTCCTTTGGCTGACAAGGACTTCCCAAAATTAATAATATGATAGCCCCTGCAGGCATAAAATCTATTAGCTGCAACATCAAAAAGATGGGGATTTGGAAGAAACAAGTACAAACACTAAATTGTTTTCTAGGAAGCTCTTATTCCAACCACTTGGTATAGAAACAGTAAAGCAGAGGAAAGTTGCCAAAAGTTGCTGGTCTAATTCTTCTTCCTTTCTCCCCCTTTCCTCAGTGTCTATCTGTTGCCTAGTGCTGTGGAAAAACAATATTCATAATTAAAATCTAAAAATGTCTCCGATGGAGAGAAATCCATACTTTTAGGCATGACCACTGGAATCTGCTGAATGAAATTGTGAAATGAGCATGACAGGGTGGGAGACTTGTAGTCTTCCAGATGTTAAATGAGCCACAGTTCCCAGAAGTCTTCAGCTGTACGGCCAAAGGTTTAAAAAAATGCTCGCAATTGTAGTTCAACAACACCTGCAGGACCAAAAGATTCTCTTATCATTGTTGTATATTTACGGCGCATGTAAATACTGTAATTGGCCGGAACAGGGTGAATTATTGTTGTTTTGACACTTCCAAGTCTGTGAGTCAATGAACAAGATTTTAGGAGGATTGTCAGTAGTTCCTTCTCGTAAGACTGTTTTTGGTTCCTTCCACCTTGTTTTCTCCTGACCTCTTTTTTGATTTTTCCAGGCATCAAGATCTTTTCCAGTGATTTCTGCCTTTGCATCATGTGTTCAAAATATTTAAGCTTTAGCTTTGTTATTAGTGTTGTTGGAAGATTAGCAAGAGTCTGACTATGGTGTGCCAAGTTCTAGAATGGTTCAAGTTACGAACTTTTCTATTAGGGTAGAACAAGACCAACCTTTTTAATAGTTAAAACAAGATGTCCATGTCACCCTAAAGACAATATCTCAGAATTGTTTTTGTTACTATAAAATAAAGATTGTTTCTCTGGAGCCCTTTGCTTAGATTTTTAATTTGTTTTATTTCTGCCCAAGGCCCCTTCTTTGAATTTTCTCAGCCCTCTTCCTTTTTTTCCTCTCCCTTTGATCTACTTGCCAACATCAAACATGGTAATTCTCAACTTCTACAAGTTCAAATGAAGGAGCCTCAGTAACATTTTTCATTTTGGAAGCACGTCCTTTTATTTTCCCCTCCTGCCCTAGACTTCAGGAAAAACATTACATTATTATAGCATTGTTTTGTTGTTCTTTATACAATATTTGTTTTCATTATTTGTCAGCTGCCCAGAGTCATATACATGAGATGGATGGCTATATAAATTTGCTTAATAAATACCTCAATCCATAGTGAGTGGAAGAAAGCTGATGTGCCCCGTGTATGCTCATCATCATAGTGTATCAGCTGTCACTATGACTGGTTGATGTTCCCTGCCTGGGTTAAACTCAGTTTGCTCCTGTTGGCCAAGGGAAGAGCGTATAAATAAATAATTCACACAAACCCAGTAGTACCTTGGATAACCCTGTTAGATCTGCAGGCCTTGATAGCTGGCAGGACAGCAAGCTAATAATTAGAGAAGGAAAACTTGCCAGGTGCCTCCAAATCAATGTGTTCTTTCGATTAGCTTGTGCACTTGTCACTGGCAGATGTCAGAAGCAAGCGACAGCGATAAATGAGTTGTGACAAAATGTCCTCCTCTGAGGTGTAGCCGTATAAATAGAAGGCTGCATGCATGGATTTTTGGCAGAAGATCTCTCATTGACGATGCTGAAAGGGCTGTAGCAAACTTTTTACCCAATTATCCTTCAGGAGCCTAGCCAGCAAAGCCTTCTCCTCTCTGGAACATGATTGAGGACAATAGGTCAGAGATTAAGTGCTCGGTGTTTTCTTTTCTTTTTAATAAAAAGAAAAGGAAAGGCAGCCACTTGGTGCCCCTTAATTTAAGAGCTACACAGTTGAATGCAGCTTGTGAACCCATAGCAGAAAACAAAATTAAATGCTTTGCTTTGCACGGCAAGGATACTGAAGCGTTTTCACCCCAAGCTGTGGTCTATGTGTTCAGCTAGTTAAGAAAGGCTGTGCGCCAAAGAATTGAGGCCTTTGAACTCTGGTGCTAGAGAAGACTTCTGTGAGTCCCATAAACTGCAAGATGATCAAACCAGTCAGTCCTAGAGGAGATCAACTCTGACTGCTCTTTAGAAGGCCAGATCCTGAAGATGAAACTCAAATACTTTGGCCACCTAATGAGAAGGAAGGACTCACTGGAGAAGAACCTAATGCTGGAAACGATTGAGGGCAAAAGAAGAAGGGGATGACAGAGAATGAAGTGGCTGGATGGAGTCACCGAAGCAGTAGGCGTGAGCTTAAATGGACTCCGGGGGACGGTAGAGGACAGGAAAGGCTGGAGGAACCTTGTCCATGGGGTCACGATGGGTCGGACACAACTTGGCAAGTAACAACAACAATAAAAAAAGGCTTTCTTAGAGGCTTTGTTCAGATAGTCCAGTAATCCTGGGATAGAACAAAAGTTATTGTTGGGGGTCCAAGAACCACCCTTGACTTTTGAAGGGTAGGTCAGGGATTGAAATGTCAACATTGTTTGTCCTTCCCCCCCCCCGCCCCCACTTTTTTGAACTGTGAGCCGCCCTGAGTCCCCCCAGGGAAAAGGGCGGCATACAAATAAAGGGAAAATAAATAAAATAAAAATAAAATAACAGTGGCTGGAATCAGAACCAACAAAAATGCACTAGGGCTAGTTCAACTAATCTGATTGGATTTCAGTTGCATTAATTAAATAACCTCCGTAGTTATTTAAAGGTTCTGCATGTAATTTATAATATCTCTTTTTTCTTATTTAGAATTGCAATTCAAGTTGCAACTTGGCAATTCTCTCTGGGAGACTACGGGTTTTGTGTCTCCATCAGAAACTAAATACTGGTGGTGCAAAGTCCTTGTAATAATAAATAAACAGTTCCTTACAGCAGACAGTATGATTTAACCAAAGTTTGTTCAGCAAGCCAGAATTGTTTAAAAATAAAACATCAAAGAAAATTATATACTCCTTTCAGGACAATTTTTTAAATTTGAAGAAATTTTAAAATTTCTTTTTTCTCTTAGTGCTGTAATACCTTGTATTTTACTACAAAAGTGAGGATTGAAAAAAAGGGGGGGGGGGTTAATTCTGTCCATTGTTCTCATTCTGGTCGTGTCAACAATAGTGTCAACTTGCTGTGAGATAATATAAGATGTCAGCAGACCTTAATCATGCTTACAATGAGGTCAAGAAGAAATCTGTTCCCAACTTCATTTCTGAGAACCACTATCTCTGCTTGTGTGATGAAGATCCTGCATTTCAGCATTCCTCCTGTGCAGTCAGATGGGTTATAATGGTGTGTGTGAGAGAGGAAAACATGTGTGAGAGAGAACATGAGAGAGAATAAAAAAAGAGAACAAGAGAGAGAGAGAACACAAGAGAAAAAGAGAACACGAAAGAAAGAACATGAGAAAAGAACAAGAGAGAGAACACAAGAGAAAGAGAATGAGAGAATACGAAAAAAGAGGAGAGAGTGAACACAACAGAAAGAGAACATGAGAGAGAGAACACTAGAAAAGAGAAAGAGAGAGAGAGAAAGAGAGAGAGAGAGAACTCGGGATATAAACATACTGTATGTTTCCATATTTAAGTACCACATACATAAGCAGAATTTCTGAGGCAGTAGATGGGATTGCTAGGCCTTGTTTGATAGACCTCTTGTGGGCTCGGGATCTGGATGCCTGACAGAAATGATGGATCCATTTGTGTGCTAAAGAAAGCACTACCTGTCAATCACTGCCTTTCCACTACTTGAGAGATATAAAAGCCCATCCAGTGGCAATTGAAAATCAGCCTGTTCAGTATCTAGCATGAATTCTTTGGCTGTCTATCCTTCCTCAGAAAGAGGTGGAGTTCACAGCAATGCATGTCAGTGTGGGCTCTGCTGACAGCTTTCCCAACTGCTTTTTATAGTCAATTCATGCAAAATAGGGTGCTGTTAAGAAGCAATAGTAGCTTCTTCCTGGCCTGATCTTTAGAATGAACTACTATAGCCTCTGAGAAGGGATTATTATTGACATTATTGATTATTTTTGCCTCCAGAGTAGTAGTGGAATATATACACACACACCCAGTCTGTTATATTAAATAAGCATCCTTTATCCTGTTATTAATCAGAGAGGTATTGATGTGTCTTTTATTTATGATCTCCCATTAACATAACTCTGGGTGGCTCACAACAACATACATAACAAACATATACCCCCCCCCCCAATGAAATGATTCCATGCAACCTAGGGATTGTATCATTCTTATTTCAAATATACAGGCTCAACTTTCATCCTGACATAATGTGTTATGCAGTAGTAGGCTTTCCTTTAATCTAAACTCCGTTGGTAGCAGTTAAAGGTTCTAGATAAGTTGGTGGCCACCCAACAGTGTGCTCTGTTGTGTATTTAGAGAAGAAAGCATCAGGTACTTGCAACGGCAAGAAATACATCCAGCTTTTTTATGCAAAACAAATATTGATTCCCTGCTTGGTACAATTCTTTGGTTACAAATTCAGGCTTGTGTCTGAACTAAGTCTCTTTTATTTGGGGAAGCGACAAGCTGTTTCAGGGGTAGGAGGCAGTGGGTAGTACTATTGCAGTGAATTCTGAAATTGGGAAATTAACATGATGAACGCTTTATTATCAGCCACTTCAGCATTAAAAATCAAGTAAAATTAGAACAAGGCAGGGTTAAAGGAGGAAGACATGCATGGTCCTTGCAATTAGAGGATGCTTGAAAGAGGCACATGCATGGATGTAAATGGGACAGTGTCCTAATAAATAAATAAAAAGCGAGGAGTCTCCTTCCTAATTATGCTTCCTCGAAATAATAGTTCAGTGAGCTTTGCAGAGTTTAAATTTGGATATTTTGTCTTACCAGAGCTCTTCTGCGTGTCACAAGTGAGGAATATGCCCATCATTCATGCTCACTGGCATTCCCCAGGCTGTGCACTTCTTTTCTAATAATCCATTTGGGAAATACCGAAGGAATTAAGGACAGCTATGCTTGTTGTTATTGTTTTGGAAGTGAGATGCAAGCACTCAGCAGGGAGAAAAATGAGGCCACTGTGCTGGTTGGGAAGGGAACTGAGAGAGAAAAATTGGAAGGAGGGGGAAAGGAAGGGTTTGGTTTCCCTCCAGTTGTATAGAAGTTGTGCAATTTAAGAATCGGATTAACCTGGTATGACTTGGTTTTTCTGCCAAAGTAGATAGGTTAAGTTTCTTGGCACAGGTCACAGTACAGTACATTATGTGCTGTAAATATGGGTGTGTCGGCCTTGGGTTTTAATGCCACAGAAGTCTTAGAGGCTAATATTCTGCAGCTGTGCAGCACAGAACAGACTTCCTTTAGCTTTTGTCAGGAGAGTTAACTGCATTGTTTGGGTGCGTTGTGGTTCCTTTTTTCCTGCAGCAATCAAATCCTCCCGAGAAGCTTGCAAACAGAGCCGTCTGACGTGAAAACCAAGGGGTCATTTGCATAGAAGCTTTTCCCATTCATGATTTATGGCCGAACATTTTGTTTTTTTCTCCTGTGCCACCAAACTAAGTATGGCCCCAGCATGCTTGTAAACTTGGGGATTGTTCCAAGTTGGTGGAGGGATGTGGCAACCAAGACTATAATGTGATGCTTTCGTAGTTCAATGCTCCTTGATCGAACCTTCTTGCAAAGAGTAGCTAGTTACTGAGATTGCTGTATGGTAGTTATTTTACAATTATACATGGAAATACATGGACAGAGGGATCCATTAGCAACCAATAGCAAAATTAATTAGGAGGTTCTTTGGCTTAGGCAATCTACACAACCTCCTTCCACAAAACAATGAAAAACAGCTCTAATAGAGCAGCAATGGGCAGTGATAGACAAGCAGACAGACCAGAAGAAGCAATGTGGAAGTGGCTGGGGATTGGTTCCTCTTGGTCATTTGACTTCTTGACTAGCTTCTGCCTAGAGTTGAAGAATTTACAGTTCCCATCACTCTTCGTTGTTGGTTGTATTGAGGTGATAAATGAAGAGCTAATGCCTATTTCTTGATGAATACATCACAGTTCCAAATACCAACTCTAAAATATAATAGGAAACAATACCAGGTTAGCTCAGGAGACCAGTTCACAGGCCCTTAAAACTGTAATAGGAGTTAAAAGATCACACACCACACATCTTAAAGCTGCCAAGGTTGCAATATGTTGGACTAGAGCAGTGATGGTGAACCTTTTTCTTATGGCTTGCCAAAATTGAGCCCGTGTGTGCTGTTGCGTGTGCGTGCCCAAACCAATTCAATCTTCCCCGCCCACCTGTGCATGTGCACAAAACCCCCACCCCCTTGTGCATGCGCACACAACCCCTCCCCAGGCTCCGAAGGCTTTCCTGAAACCTGGGGAGGCGAAAAGGGCCTCTCCTGGCCCTCTGGAAGGCTGAAAATCAGCTGGCTGGTGCACACATGCGCACTGGAGCTGATGGCTGACATTCCAGCAAAGAGCCAAGGTGGCGCAGTGGTTAAATGCAGCACTGCAGGCTACTTCAGCTGATTGCAGATCAGCAGGTCAGCGGTTCAAATCTCACCGGCTCAGGGTTGACTCAGCCTTCCATCCTTCCGAGGTGGGTAAAATGAGGACCCAGATTGTTGGGGGCAATATGCTGACTCTCTGTAAAACCGCTTAGAGAGGCCTGAAAGGCCTATGAAGCGGTATATAAGTCTACTGCTATTGCTATTGCTATTGCTATATGACTCCATGTACCACCTGTGGCACATGTTCCATAGGTTCACCATCACGGGACTAGAGCATCTCCAGTAAGGAAAGGAAATGCTTTTAGAAGGACAGCGGCTAACTTGAGTCTCACTATCTTGGAAGTATCATATGCCCAGTGCATATGCGATTTCTTGAAAATGAAGAAGTACAAGTGCACTTACAGATAAAACGTCTCATCCATGCCCTGTTTTTGCCACAGCTTTTTAAAGAAAATAATTATGCATGATCATTGGGCTTATATCTTGGGAAAATTAATATTTATTGATGACATGTTTAAGATGTGTTATGAGATTATGGTCACAAAGGTGTTGAAGTCAGGAGACTTTGTGCTGTTTTTATGGTTGTAACCTTGGCAATTTTCCAGATTGGCTCAAATTCCAGGAAAATTAGTAGTAAAATTGTACTTCCTCTGGTCCCTTTATAGATATGTAGCCTGGGATACAGTGCAAACATTGCCATCATAGCAATACTATTTGTTATAAGCCAGGTATTTAATTCTTTTGTTGAAAAGATTGAAAATGTGACTTTTGTCTGATTGTTTTTCCTTGTATATATATTCAGCAAAGGTTTAGAGCATCACTCAGCCCCATCCATTCATTCTCTCTCTAGTTTGCCCAGTTGCATTGCACTTGATTTGGTTAGTATCCCATTGGCCTCACACTATTTCCACTTCAATGCTTACATATTGATCAGTATTACTATTTATCAATCAGTGGTGATACTGAATTTACTAACTCTGTAGTGTGGTATCTCAAACCTCTTCCGCAGTTTTGCTTTGCTTATATTATAAATACACAGGTAAACCTTGACTTATGACCACCATTGCACCTGGAATTTTGGTCGTAAGTCATTGCAGTTATAAAATGAGGCATCACGTAAACAGACTTTCTTTTATGACCTTTTTCCCAACAGTCATAAAGTGAGCCACATAATTGTTAAGTGAATCATGCAATTGTTAAACAAATCTATTCTTCCAAATGACTTTTTTGCCAGTCACAAACTGCTCATTAATGAAAGTCGGTTGCCAAGTACCACAATCACGAGATTGCAGGGAGAACAACAGCAGTTGTCACAATTGCTGAAGGGTTATAAGTAGTTTTTAAAAAGTCCATCAGAACTTTGAATGATCATTACAGAACTGGCTGTAAGCCAAGGATTACCCATAAAAGACTACCAGCACACCCAACATCTTTCAAACTTCGTACTTCAGTGACAACTTTAATATTAGTTATTGATGTATGACACTTGATCACATAACTTCAGCAGATAGTGCCTTGTATTTATTGATAGGTGTCTATAAAGGGCAAACAGAAACATCATAGACAATGTGCCAGAGAAAGGAAAAGGCATTTGGTTTTGACTATAACCGAATAAATTGTATTGCGCTTCTCCATTTTTTTCTCCCTATGTAACCTGCTCTGCTAATATTATTGCATGCGATCTCATGATACTCACAGAAAGTGGATGATGAGAAATACTGACTTGGATACAGCCATTTAAGCAATGGTTTAACTAAGTAGTCCCCCATACCTGTCTGTCATTTCCTGCAGCATTCATCAGCGATTAGAAAAATATACATCTTTGCTTGCTGTCTTTGTTCCTAATGTATTGATGTATACAGGATTTGCCCAAACAAACCTGCCTTTTCACAACACAGTAATAGACTCCAACTAATGAGCAAACAACAACATATGTATTAGGTTGGCAACAGATCCATTGCTATTAATGTTGCTTTGATGCAGGTCTACAAGGAAAAAAGCAACTCTAATGCTGCAAAATTTCTCACCTTGGAGGCGTCATTCACACAATTGGTCTGCTGCCCGTATGAGTGTTGTTGAGTATTCCCAGGTACAGAAGCAACGAGAGAGTAGGTGATAATAGATCCTGTGAACCATTCTACACTTATAGCCTGGTAGGTTTAAGCAGATGAGCATTAAGGTAGCAAAGCAACGATTTTAGTTCAGTTTCACATTGTATTTGTGCAGGTGGTGTGCGTATCAAAAGAGGTAGTATTTGACCAAATCCCAAGTGAAACCCTTGAGTGAAAGTTATTTATTAATGAGAAGATAGTCTAAGTCAGCCATTTCCAACCAAGTGACTGTCATTTATCCTGAGGTTAAAAATCCCATCATAGCCAGGCAGAATGACAAAGCATTTGTAGGATATCAAACTGATTAAAAGTTATCCAGAAATTTGGGATCCTGTAGACCAGGGGTGTCAAACTCGTGTTGTCATGGTGGTGTCACGTGACGTACTGTGACTTTTTCTCCCTTCGCTAAACTGGGCATGGCCAACATGTGACTCATCTGGCCCGTGGGCCACAAGTTTGACAGTCCTGCTGTAGACAAAATGTACATTGCCTGTAATACCAAGCAGTTTTGCCCCAGACATTTTTGATGATAGCCTTCTTGCATTCACAAATCCATTGTTTATATTGTGTTTCATTCTCCCTTGTGTTACAGTGTAATTCTGATCTCTTCATATGTAGGAATTGCTCTGTTCTTTATTCTATTTTGTTTTGCAGTGAAGCTACTATTTATAGAGACTATGACTTAAATTGTAATGAAGTTGATTTGCATTATATCATATCTGCTGATAGCTGCTTATTGTAGAAGAGTTATCATCACCAGGCAAGATGCTCTTGGTTACAACATTGGTCAGAGACTGTTGCTTTCCCAAGCATCATTCTGCCTCTCACCACTGTCAGTGATGAAGAAACATTTGAGTTCAGGTGATCAGGAAATGCCATCTCGTCAGGTTGCAACAGAGTGAGATGGTTAGCGGTATCCTTGAGGGAAGGGAAGGAAATGGCATTGGTCAGAATGATGCAAGCAGCATTGTGGCATTGTGATGCCACTACTAGTCCTTTACCATATGCATTGCAATCTTGCACATACTGCCCCTGAAGGAGAATTTCATTGCAGCATCACACTGCTGAAGAAAACAAACACTTTGTAATGTTTAGTTTCAAGGGAAGAATGCGGAAGTTGCCACAACAATGCCATTTCTGTTACTATGGTTATAAGCAAGTTTAGAATCTTCTCTGCTATTGTTTGCATTAGCCATGCCACAGAATGCAAAGGGACAATAGTTCTGTGGTATATGTGCATAGTGGATTATGAGGAGGAGTTGGGTTTTGTTGTTGTTGTGCCTTCGAGTCAGTGTTGAGTCCTGGATAGTCGCTGCAGTTTTCTTGTGTTAGAATTTTGAAAGTTATTTGCAATTGCCTCTTCCTAGGTCTGAGAGAGTGTTTTGGGTCCAAAGTGACCCAGCTGGTTTTGTGCCCAAAGCTAGACTAGAACTTGTGGTTTCTAAGTTACAAGTCTGGTGCCTGAATTACTACACCATACTTGTTTTCAAATAGTGGTATACATTACAGATAAAGTGCTTTTAAAAAGTCTAACATATGATGAAATGCTCTTTTTGCTAAGATAATAATAGCTTTTCTTTCCCATCACAGTGTAGTAATCATGTAGGGATTTGAGATTAACTGAAATATAATTGTTATTTTGAGTTATGTTTTATGTTGTGGTCAGAGCTAAAACAATAAACAAAACTGTTAATGCTTTTTCATTGAAACTATAATTTGGGAAGTTGATGAGCATTTGACAGTAGAGACATAGTTCATTTTTTTTAATATGCTCATCACGTTTTCATTGACAGACATTTAACCAATTTCATTGTGTAGGGAATATGTTTTTGTTCATTGTTATCTTTGGTTACCATTGAGCAAAAGATTAATAGTCTCAGAAGATAAACTAATGAATATGGATGAAGGCCAATTTATAATGCTTACTAGCCCATAATTGCATGTCCAGGCCTGGGACCCTGGGTATGTTAAGGGCCATTTTCTGGCTGTATTTTCATCCATGGCAATAGTACTACTATATGACTATATATATTTATTTTGCCTTGTTTTAATTATTTTTAATTTGTTTTCATATCTTATGTAGTTATCATTGACTTATAATTATTCTTTTAGTAACCATGCGAAGTCACAATGGCACTGAAAAAAGTGACATGACTATTTTTCACACTTAGGATTGTTGCAATATCTTTGTGGTCATGTGATCAAAAATTGGGTGCTTAGCAACTAGCATATATTTATGACAGTTGCATTGTCCTGGGGTCATGTGATCACCATTGTAACCTTCACAGCTGGCTTCTGACTAGCAAAGTTAGTGAAGGAAGCCATATTCACTTAACAACCACATGATTCACTTAACAACTGCAGTTAGTCGCTTAACAACAGTGGCAAAAAAGGTCATAAAATGGGATACAGATCACTTAATTGTCTTGTTTAGCAAAGGAAATCTTGGGTTCCATTGAGGTCGTAAATCAAGGGCTATCTGTACGCTGCCCAGAGTCTGCCCTTGTTGAGATGTTGATTATTTCTAATCAAATAAATAAATAATAAATCCGTTGCACAGATGCATTGTTTATTCCTGGCCTTCCAGCAGTTTGGCAGTTCGAATCCTAGCAGGCTCAAGGTTGACTCAGCCTTCCATCCTTCTGAGGTTGGTAAAACCCAGATTCTTGAGGGCAGTAGGATGACTCTATAAACCGCTTAGAGAGGTATGTAAAGTACTGTGAAGCGGTATATAAATCTAAGTGCTATTGCTATTGCTAATGGTCTTAAGAATGAACCAATTGCCAAGCATCTGAATTTTGATCACATGATCATGGGGATCCTGCAATGCTCTTAACTGTGAAAAGTAACTTTTTCCAGTGCTGTTGTAGCTTTGAACTGTCACTAAATGAACTGTTGTAATTCGAGGACCTACCTGTAGTAATCTGGTAGTTGTGTCCCTCCCTCCCTTCTTCTCAAGCCATCAAGTTATAATTTGTTATCTTATAGAATATTCAATAAACAGTTTAAAACACAAATAGAAATGAAAAATAAAATAAAAGTTAAATCTAATGACGGAAGAAGAGAGTGGAGACATTTCCTGAAGGAGTGTTTTCTGGAAGCAGTGCAGGAAGTAGCCCTTTCCCCCCATACCCCAAAAATAGGTCTTGATGATGGAAGAATATTTTTATAAGGGCCTCTCCCTTCAGGCCTTAAGAATCCGACAGGTTTCCAGTGGCAGAAATTCCCTCAAAGAGCATTGTCAATACATTGCACTGATGCATTAAATTGTATCAGTAGGCGATTAACAGTCCTTGCCATTTTTCCAATATAGGCATCATTTAGTCCCTGTAAATTATACCTTTACCTAGCATTATATATACAATAGACCTATTGTCGCTACATTTTACGCCAACTGCAGTATTTGGATGCTTGTCAAAGATACCCCTTTGAAGAAATTTATACCAAAAGCCAAAAAATGTTAGAACACTTAAACAGTGTGGCCTTCCTTCCTTCCTTCCCTTATTTTTAATACATATTTTAGATCAAAACTCAACATCAAACTTACATACACAAGATTTTGCTTGAGCTGTCCAAAATAGCCAATCAATGCCATCATTCTTTCCTTTGCTGCTGATTATGGGGTGGTTGCCTTTTTAAAGTACTTGGTTATTTTTGCTTTGAGGATAAACAGTACAAGATTGCTTGTAGAGATACTGTACTAGCCAGTGTCTTCGGGAAAACAAAGATTTGCTGTCAGAACAAGGATTTATTATTGGAAAATTCATTTTACTCTTATTTAGTTCACTCCTAGAGCCGTTTGCTTCCATCCTAGTTCATGTAAACATATTGGAGGATCTGATTTTAGAAATGTAGAAAATGTTGAGTGTCAGCAGAAGATGGAAGATTTATTTATTTAACAATGCAGACAGGCTCTGATGATAAAATGCAATATGAGTCAGATGTCACCAAATTGTGTTACTAATTCTGTCACTCAGATAATTCTCTTTTTGCTTCTGATCCCAATTATCACTCAGTGTTCTGAGCCTACTACTGAGTATTTTCAATCCACATTGGTCTATTTGGGAGAGGTTTTGAAAAATCATTTTTATACATTTGCATCTGCTTTTCCCTCCAAACTTACTTTTAGCTTACAATCGGAGAGATGAAATGCACTGCTGAAGCAATTGAGTACAATCCTCTACTTTGTATGAGAAGTCAGATTAAGGTATTTGAAAAGGATGCTGCCATTTTGGCTATATAACCTTGATACTCCCTCTTAAATAAGTACAAAAATAGAAGAAATGATAATATTAAACCTTAAATAGAAATTCAAATTACCTACCAAATTTAGATACCAACCATCATGCAATCAATGTTCCTTCAAAATCTTGGGTATGACTAAATCAAAGCTTGATTGTTTTCAAAGAAAAGCTTATATTCAGATTCCCCTCTTATATAAATAACAGATTAACAGAGTTGGAAGAGACATTGGAAGTCTTGTAAACCAATCCCCTGCTGAGACAGGAAACCCTATACCATTAACTAATATTTCACTTAACAACAGAAATGGTTGTCCAATTTCTTCTTAAAACCTTCCCATGTTGGAGCACTCACAATTTCTGCAGGTAAGTCATTCCATACTAATAGAAATAATCTATTTATATTGTATAAAATAATACTAAGTATCCCAACAATTTGGGGAACTCTGTCAGAATGTTTGCAGCTCTTACTCAAAAAATGAGAAAATGAAATTGTCACTTCATCTGAAATTATAAGCCTGATAAGACCTATGTTACATCACGATGTTTTGTTTTTTTTAAAAAAATAAAGGTTTGGAGCCCAGTTGAAGAAGGATGCAGACTTAATAAGAGAAATATGATAGAAGAAATCTGAATGAAAACCATGAAGTTTGAATAGAACCATGATGGCGAACCTATGGTATGTGTTCCAGAGGTGGCATGCAGAGCCCTCTCCTGGCACATGCGCCGTCACCCCAGGTAAGATCTTTGTGGCATTTCTTACGTGAGCTTCTTTTCCCTGCAAACGACAAAACAGAAGCTCATGAAAGAAAAAGATCTTACCTCTTGCCACGTTGCTGGTGCTGGGATGCCCTGCCTCCAGCTGGCCAGTTGGTCTTCGGGTCTCTGCTGCACATGTGCACATGTCCATGCATGCGCATATGCATGTCTGCACATGTGCATGTTTGTGCATGATCGCGCAAGCAGCAT